TTAAGTTCAAAAGCTAACTAACTTCTTAAATTGCTAGGTGTATTTGGTACGCGATTTTCATCAGATTCAGTTTCGTATGTTTCTATTTGTATCCATTCTGTCCAAGGTCCAGTTCCATTTACATTTAAGGCACATATACGAACTTGATAAACAACATGTTTCTCAAGTCCTGTGAGCACTCGTGAACGTTGATTTCCTTCAGTTGCTATATTTACTGGTGGTGATGCTCGATCATGACGGCGATAACGAATTTTATAACCAGTAATAATTCCATTTTGTCCTTCGAGCGGTGGTTCCCATCTTATCATAATACTCTAAAAAATATGAAAAAATAATAAAATGATGTTAAAAATATTATTTGATTATACGAAATTCTAAAATACGTACTGTAGGACTAACTGGTTCTACAGTGACATTGTGTGGTGGCTGAGTAGGTTGTGCACTATAAGTTCGAACTATAATATCTCTACTAAATACGCCAGGACCATTCTCATTTACAGCTTGAACTTTAATATTGTATTCTGTATAAGGCACGAGATCTATTAAATCGTGCATTGTGCTAGTAGTTTCACGTGTTATTTCCTCATTGTCACCCTTTAAATAAAATATTTAAAGAAATTGAAATTTTAAATTAAAAAGTACATAATTATTAACATTTTATAGAAAATTTGTAAATATACCTCTACAAATGTAATTATATATTTAGAAATTTTGCCATTAGTAACTTGTGGTTCTTCCCAAGATAATGCAATGCTCACACTACTTGTGGCATATCCTTCTAAATTCAATGGAGGTCCAGGAACATTGGCCTATTACAATAAATTTAAAATAATTTGATCATAGAATAATTTATTTATTTATGTCTAAAATATATTTAAAATTTTAAACGGACCTCAGTAAGTGTAGTAACTTGTAATACTTCACTAGATATTCCGGAACCTCTTTCATTCAAAGCAACCACTCGAAAGTGATATGTCATACTTGGTTGTAAACCTCGTATTACTGCCTCCAATTTTTGTTGTGTATTAATAACTCTTTCTCTATAAGATTTTACATTTTTTTTTTTATTTTCATTGTATACAAAATATGATTATCAAGATAAGCATATTTATCTATAGACTAATTATCACCTTTGAGCACCTTCTTGTTTATAATAAATGTAATAATTTAGAATCTCTCCATTTGTATTTTCAGGTTCTTGCCATCTTAAAGTTACAAATCTAGCAGTGACAATGACGAGACTTAAATTCCTTGGTGCTGATGGAACACTTCCTTCTATTGATTCCAAACTGTCTGTGTCATCTATAAAAGGGGATTTTGGATCGTAATGGGAATTAGGAAATCTAACAGATCCAGGAAGATCTGCAGGGTCATCAGAGGGGCTAATGGAAAGCGATGGATTGGGCGTAAATGCAGACATTGTGTGACCTAAAAGAGTACTCGGATGCTGCCACGTTTTATTATACAATTGCCGATGCAATAATAATTTCTTTTTAGGAACTGTCTTTGGAGTAGTTGATTTATGGGAAATTGCCTTTTCTGAATATAAATGTTAGCATGCAACACAGTTAAAAAAGGAGGAAACACACAAGTGGAAAAAAAATAAATATAAAATTAAAAATCTTTGTATAAAAAAATAAATTGAAAATAATATATATTATATTTCTAAATAAATTAAAAAAATAAATTTACTAGCTAATAAAAAATATATTAACATATTAAACATTACAAAAATAAATTCAAAAAAATTTTTAATTTAAAATATATTTATATTTGAATTTTATAAAATATATTATAAAATATATATAGTTATAATTGTAAAATCGGTACTTACTAGGTTGATTAATTGTTAAACGCGCTGCAGCTTGAACAGTTCCAGCGGAATTTGTTCCGATACATTGAAAAATTCCAGCATCTATCGGTAATAGACCATTAATTCTAAGATTATAACTGAAAATAATATTATAAGAAATATTAGAAGAAATA